GTGGGGTGTGCGGGGGCGTTGGTGGGGATTTGGTGTGTGTTGAATTAGGGGATGGGGTTTGTGAGTATGTGTGTATGGGTTTTGGAGTTTGAGTGCATTCTTACTATACGAGGCCCGCTTTAAATTAGGATGAGTTTGAGTGGGTGTTCTTTTATGGCTCTTTTGGGGGTTTGTGGGTTAGAGGGGTTGGAAAAGGGAATACTGTCCTTGGGCTGGGTTGGGGTGTCGGTTGGAACTGCATTTGCTTTTGAGGGATTCGTGTGTTTGTCTGTATTCATTCAGTGCTGCTCCACTACGACAGATTTTCTCGTCAAGGTTGGTTTCATGCGGGACTTTCAGGTGAAAGGGAGCGTATAGGCAAGTGTTCGAGAAGTGATCAATGAAAAACCAAGGAAAAACTCATTCTTCTAGTGTAACCACTATTCAAAGTCTTCAAAAGGACAGTATCATGGTCTTCCATGACGTGTCATGGTCATCAACTCTGCTGTATCTCAGTACTTGAGACCAAACTGATCTACTCTTCAGAGGTCGTTTACGCTCCTGGTTTTGTATGTCCAGAAATCACAATTTTGAACAGTCTTCAAGAAATTTGGGAAAGCTGTACATTTCCCTACTCCTTTACTCCTTTCCCCTCAAAAACCAAGTCGCAAGACTGGATCAAGATAAAGATATATACAAGAACGTAAACACCCGACAACTGAATCAATCAGTCAAAGCACCCATACTCTATCAAGATAAAGATATATACAAGAACATGAACACGCGATAACTGAGTCAATCAGTCGAAATACCCATACTCCATCAATCCTCTATGCAAGCCTGGCAAGATGATTTGATTCAAGCATTCTAGTTCTCACAAACGTCGTCGTCTTCTGGAACAGGCTTCGAGATTCCAGTTGGGTACAGACGTGAACCACCGGATGCGTATCCACCTGAAGGCGTGGGGTTCGTGACGTTGGTGGATATGGTACCATTTGGAAATATATAGATGGGTCTGATACCCGGAGCAGAAGGTGTTGTCGCCTTGGTCGAGGTTGGAAGTGGTTTAGTAGACATTCTGGCTGCGCCCGCGCTACCGGAAGCAAACGTTGCTGGAGTTGTAGTCGGTGATGGAACCGGAGTTTTGGCGGTTTGTGGAAGACCGTAATATTGGTTTGCTAATTCAGGAGCCTTGGTGGGAATACTTGGGCCTGGAGAAGAAGTAGGGGGGGCAGTGCTTGGAGGACTGGCAACCGCTGCCGCAACAGGCGCACCATTCACACCAGCACAAGCGAAACTCATACTCGAGGTGGGTGTTCCCTTGGATCTGGCCTTGGTCAGATCCCAAGGTTGGACGACGTAAGGCCAGCAAATTTTACCATTGATGACAGCCATATCACCACTAACTGTTACCTCAGGATCGACCTTCTCGGTGCCGACTTTCTTTCCAGAGTCATCCACGAATTGGAAACTGGTGCCGGCGAAGGTACCTGTGCAACTCATTGGAACAGGTTGACAGGTCGGGTTCTCGAGAGTTTCCCATGTGACAAGTGCAAGAGTTGAGTTGAGGGTAGCAACACGGACGTTCTCGTGGTCAACGGTATCGGTCTTCGTGAGCCAGATGACTTGAGAATCGCCGTCTTTGGCGCCAACAACAGAGGAAGCTTCTTCCCCAGCAAGTTTAGACTTGCTGGCGAGAATAGCAATGGCTACGTTGTGGTTCAGCCATCTCGGAGAACTTTGAATATAAGGCGCTCCCATCCAAGAATCGGTATACAAATCCACAGCACCGCGCGACTGCCAGGCGAAGATGTATTCTGCAGTTCCAGGGAAAAGAGCCAAGTTGCTGTAAGAACCGCTCATGCCTCCCATGGGTTCTCCGCTGACGCCGTTGGTGGTGTTTTCGTTGGCGATCTTTACGCCGCTCATATATCTGGTTTCGGTGTTCAACCAGATGGCGCCGTGGTCCTCGGCGCAGATACTGGCGAATGGAGGGACATCTGCTGCTTCTAGGGCGATTCCTGTGTTGTGGGAGCAGCCAAAGGTGCTTGCAGACGGGATGTTCTGGCGGGCACCAGTGTCATCGACATACTGAATAGAGTCTCCGAAATGACCAGCTGCATTACCGGTGTAGGCTGTGAAATGTCAGAGATCATGAAAACTAAGCGAGTAATCTAAGAAGTTCGAGGGAAATTTACCAGTGACAACAAAGTAAGCTGCATAGAGACCTGAAGCGGAAGAATAAACAAGATCCCCGTTAGCATCAGGTGTTGCGGTCAACTATCTTCGTCAGTATTTTCGCTGGTAATAATACAGTATCATAAAAGTAACTCACACCAGCCGCGGCATTGACACCAGGTCCATTCAAAGGAGTTCTCCACGCCTCAGCTCCACCCTTGACTCTGAGCAAAGAGACAATGGGTGCATCTTCCGTAGTCGTCTTCTCGGCAGCCTTAACAGTCGCAAGCAAAGCAAAGCCATCATCCTGCGCAACCAGCCCAGCAGCCTCAAAGCCAGGCGTAGAGAACGGTGTTCCAACCGCAGTAAATGTCTCAGTATCAACCTGCTGAACATGGACCGTCTTCAACGTAGCATCCAGATAAGCGAGATACGCCGATTTCCCATCAGGAGAGACGGAAAATGGGGTTCTGCGATGGTGAGGAAGACCTGTCCAATATGCTGGAATCGTTCCGTCGAAGCTGGCTGCTAAAGCAAATGAGTTTTTGAATGTGGTGAGAACTGGGTTGGCGCTGACGCAGGCCACGCTGGTAGCTAGAATGGAGAAAAAGAGTGTGGAGTAACGCATGATGGCTGATTTAGAAAAGGAATGGACGCAGGTACATGTACCGCCAAGAACAAAAACGAGGGCGGGTGGTGTTGCTGAAGTGAAAAATCCCAAAAGTTTGAGAAGAGGAGAGAAAAGGCGGAAAACATTCTGGGCGATGGTCTGGTATATGGAATATGAAAAACGTAAACCCGACTAACTTTACGAAAACGGAACGTCTATATCGAAAAAATGGGGGGGGATTTCCGTATCGTTGTTGGAAGTTTCGCAAGTAAGGGACAAGAAATGAGGAAGTTGTCATAACCCACATATTCGAGTTTACCGAGTCAACCGACTGGTGGTCTTTTTGGAACTTTTGCGGGGAACCCGTCTAGACACTTATGGTTCGTGACGGATAAATCAGCTTCCATTTGTTTTGGGGATCAGCGCCAGGGAGGATGGGATGGAGGCTCTTGGCTGGGTGGGTTTAATGAGGATTGTTTCATGGATAGAGTTGTGACTTTGATCATCATGTGGCCCCGGCCCTAATGATCCCCTGAATGGATACTGTGAGCAGGAATTCCGCATTGAGGAACTTACTAACGTATTTAAAGTCACGTCAGTAACGGTCAGTTGAACAGTTGATGTTATAAAACAAAAACACATACGCAATAAATATCACTTAAGTGGTGCCTAGCTCGTAGTGGACAAATAAGCTGCAATAAGCCTTTTCCTCGTTGTTCCTTTCTAGAACAATGGTAAGCGATTTAATTTTACTGGTCGAAATGATTAGAGTAATTGAATGCTTTGGATTAAGTTTTGAGGATAGAACAACGTTCTGTGTCCAATCGTCTCATCGCTTTGTGGCGACCACGATTGAAATTCCTAGAATTTCATTTGTCCGCAGGTTGTAACCCCTACTTCGACGTGTGCTCTTGTTCGCCTAATATTGAATTCAGTATTGCTTCTTGCTCACAGCCCGTAGATTTGGATTTGAACTAGGTGGTGCTGACGCGGAAACCCCTCATCGAATGTACTTGTAAAGTCCAGTCCATATTCATACAGCCTTGACCGCAATTCGCCAGTCCGATCCATATTTAAGATATCAGACATGCTGCTTTTTGAGACAACTTTGACGTCAAGTTCTCTTACTTGTAGCTTGAAGGGTTGAAGACTCGAAATTTGCCACCTCGATGGAGGGAGTCCTCGTTCAGATTTGATATGATCTTCACCATCATTTTTATATTCACGAAATAAGGGATGGAATCTCGTATGAAGGCTCAGATAGGGAGTGCTGAGAATACTAAGTCTCGAGGATTCGATGATTCCCTACGCGATTACCAAGCTGTCAATTGAGGTTTTTGCTATCTCCAGGATTTGCAAACATGTAAACGTCCGATCTCCGATAGCCTTCAAGCCCTTGAACATTCCCATGTTTGTTTCATTTCCGTTCAATTGGTGGACCGCTTCATGTCGCGCTTTCTGTCTTTGCTCAACCTCTCCAACAAGGTCTTTTAATCCCTTGTGGTTACAATTCTCTTGTTCGTGTCCGTGAATATCGACTCGTAGTAAAGCCCTCAGAGTACGACGCCATTCCAAGGGCGGCATTTCAACAGCTTTGAATAGAATCTCCTTTTCGGCGCATACCAAAGCTTCATCGATAGTCTCCTGTTTATTACATATGCCACCGTACTCGCCAAATTGAAATGTTTTCGTTTGACCTGTAGCTACAGCTACGTCGGTTTCGTCATCGATCATTTTTAAAAGTCGATGATAGCCATGAGCTATGATCGGCAGTAAAGTACCCAGCAACATGGTATTCTGAAATCCATCCATTGTAAACATTGTTTGTTCTATAATGGTTGATCCACAGTTGGGGCACCAAATCGTGTGTGAGGCTGTCCTGGCTGCCTTACGAACTACACTCAAGGCGGGAGCAATGTCTGATGGAAATTGCTGAAGAGAGGCCAAACTGAGGTACATGCTTGCTAGGCAACTACAAGGCAATGAGGTGCCACTATCTGAAGAATTGTTGGATGCCGTCGTCATTGAAATCGCGTTTAGGAAAGAATCCGAGGGATTTGACGAGTCGTTATTGATACCTTCAACGTTGATTGCGGCGTCTATCAAAACATCGTTGTTTTCCATGTCTAGAGTGTGATTTGTGTCAAATGTATTCGTAGGTGGAACTGAAGCGAAGGGTGCCTCATTTATATAATATGGCTGGGCGACGCCCCCATCATTGTAGTCGTAGTCAAAACCAAAGTCAGTGATATCAAATGGTAGTGGACCCATATTGAGTGATTCCACTGTGAGGTCAGAAGCAACAGGTTGTTCGTCCTGAAGAGTCTCAACAAATTGCCTTTTTCGAGGTCGGCCCATTGGCTTTTGCTCAGAATAGTGGCAGGCTAAGCCTGTAGTTGCTTAGTTTCAAGATACTTTCAGGAGGAAGCAAAATTGTCTCGAGAGTAGAGATTAGAGAGTGAAAATAAGTCATAGACCCACGCTCTCGTGTACAGCGATCGCATCCATTTGGGTTCTTGGTACAAGCCAATTTCCGTGTTCCTGAAGACTGTTAGCAACGTGAACACTATATCAGACATATATACCCCTGGTGGATTATATATTGGTGTGTCTATATAGGAAGAAGAATCTTACTGCACTCATCGCAAGAACGGCGCTTGACCGTTGTTGTCGTTGCCTTGGCTGTTGATGGCATAACGACGGAGCCGCAAGCTACAGGATCTAGGTCTAGCGAGGTCAAGAACTTGTTGAAAGCTGACATTCGTGATACATATATATATGTGTGTGTGTGTGTGTGTTTAGTTATCAAGTATCGTAAGTAAATATAGATATAAACTCGCAATCCAGCATCCAACTTGTAGTTTCCATAAGCTGACTACCTACGTACCTACTTAGTGAAGCGTACTCGTAGGTTCCCCGCAAAATCTCGGAGAGTAGTTCTTCCGCCCCGCCTGGTGCCGCGATAAGCTCCAAGCCGGTGCTTATCGCAGTAAGGCCCAAAATTTTCTCTGCTCTGCCCGAGAGTTCACAGTTCTTCAATCTTCAATCCCAACATGGCGCCTACAACGCACCAAAGAAAGCGAAAAGCGGTGACACGCGATGTCGATGTTCCAGAGATTTCCAATGTAGAATCTGAGGCCGAATTTGGAGATGCTCTGTTGGAAGGAATCCTGTCGCAAAGTGAAGATTCAGACGACGACAGCGGGGAAGAGGAGGAAGAGGATAGCGACGACGAAAATGACGAGGAAGATGGGCTTGAGGCGCTCGATAGTGATGAGATCCCCACGGATGGCGACAGCGACGCGGGGAAGTCGAATGGCAAGGCGACAACTGCCAATGGCGCAAATGCTATTGTTGAGAAGATCATTGGAGAGCAGCAATTGGTAGAGGACGACGACAAGCCAAACTATACCATCACGACGGATGCGAATGGAGGAGAGCGTTACGTTTATGAGGAAATCAATCCTGTGTATGATAGTGACGACTCTGATGCGCCAATCACAACCAATACCATAGGAGATATCCCACTGTCATTCTACGATTCATATCCTCACATTGGATACGACATCAATGGCAAGAAGATCATGCGGCCAGCAAAGGGGGAAGCGCTGGATGCACTTTTGGACAGTATAGATGTTCCTAAAGGATGGACTGGTCTCACGGACCCGACTACTGGCAAACCTCTCAACCTAAGTCAAGATGAACTAGAAATTCTACGAAGGATACAGACCAATGAGCTTCCAGAAGATGGCTATGATCAATATCCCGTATGTAAAGTCCCAACGCATTTCGAAAATCAAACGCTAACTAGGTTTTCAGGCCACTGTGGAATACTTTACTGGCATCGAAGAGATCATGCCTCTGAGTGCTGCTCCTGAGCCTAAGCGACGATTCCTTCCTTCGAAGCATGAGGCCAAGCGAATTATGAAGATTGTTCGAGCTATACGGGAAGGTAGAATCTTGCCTTATAGACCACCCGAGGAGCAAAAAGAGGAGGACGAAGAGGTGCATTATGATATTTGGCAAGACGAAGTACCACGACCAGACCATATCATGAATATTCCAGCTCCCAAAATGCCACCTCCTGGATACGACATGAGTTACAATCCACCACCGGAATATCTCCCTACAAAAGCGGAGAAGCAGGCTTGGGAATCAACTGATGTTGAAGACCGAGAAAAGGAATACTTACCCACAGCATACGATGCACTACGAAAGGTACCAGCATATGATAAATTCATCAACGAGAGATTCGAGAGATCATTAGATTTGTACTTGGCCCCAAGAGTACGAAAGAACCGACTCAACATAGATCCAGCATCATTGCTACCAAAACTACCGAGACCCGAAGAATTAAAACCGTTCCCAACAGTATGCTCGACGCTATTCCGAGGCCACGAAGGCCGTGTTCGATCCTTAGCAATCGATCCTTCTGGTGTATGGCTCGCGAGTGGAGGTGATGATGGTACGGTGCGCGTGTGGGAACTTTTGACTGGAAGGCAAATCTGGAGTGCGAAAATTGGTGACGAGGAGGCTGTCAATGCTGTGAGATGGCGTCCTGGAAAGGACGCAGTTATTATTGCAGCAGCAACTGGGGAGGACGTGTATCTTCTTGCGCCGCCAGTCGTTGACCCTGAGACTGATGCTGCAAGCCGAGCGATCTTGGATCACGGCTTTGGACACGCAACCAATGCAGCTCCATCTTTGACTGCACATGGTGCTAAGAAGGAACCCGTTGCGAAATGGACTCGTCCTGGAACTCGTCTGGAAGATGAAGGAGTTCTAATAAAAATAACCTTGCGAACGACAGTCAAAGTAATCAGCTGGCATCGTTGCGGCGACTTCTTCTCCACTGTCTCGCCAACCGCTCAGAGAACTGCCGTCGCAATCCATACATTGTCAAAGCATCTTACACAGATCCCATTCCGTCGACTTCCAGGTATTCCACAAACCGTGCAATTCCATCCTTCTAGACCGTTATTCTTTGTTGCCACTCAACGCACAATCCGAAGTTACGATCTGCAGAAGCAAGAGCTTGTCAAAATCATTCAGCCCGGTGCTCGCTGGATCTCATCCTTTGACATTCATCCTGGGGGAGACAATCTTATCGTAGGATCTTATGATCGACGTCTTTTGTGGCATGATCTCGATCTCTCAACGAGACCTTACAAGACCATGAGATTCCATTCTAAGGCTATTCGAGCGGTCAAGTACCATAAAGGAGGATTCCCTCTCTTCGCAGATGCCAGTGATGACGGTAGTCTTCAAATCTTCCACGGCAAGGTGGTTAGTGACATGATGGAGAATGCGACTATTGTTCCAGTCAAAGTACTGAAGGGCCACAAAGTGAAGAGTGCATTAGGTGTTATGGATATTGATTGGCATCCGAGGGAGCCGTGGTGTGTTAGTGCTGGAGCGGATGGAACGTGCAGGTTATGGATGTAATACCATTCTCTTTAGATAGATGTGCTTGTTGTAATTCATAGCCAGGGCGTTGTTGGCAGGAAAACATTTTTGATCATACATACAGAGCCGCTTTCGAACGCCCTTCTTTCGATTTCACTTCCTTTAAATGAATAGTTCCAAGATATACATGCATGAGAAGCTTCGAGTCGATACTTGAACTTAGCTCAAGCTTCGTAAAGTAGTTTCCTAATTAGGCAATAACCTATTTCTCATTCCAGAACGTGCAAGGTCCATTCATGTAAAGTGAATAGCTTACTGTCTATTATCCCTTCTGCTTCAGGGGGGTTTTGAACATAGTTCCCATATCAAGACGACTTCATCCTTATATACCTTCCAAATATCGAGTGAAGTGCTTATCTTTCAAGTCAAAAGAAGTACCCCAGAGGATTGCTTAGACCATCGTGTAAAAAAGTGTGTAAGTGGGTCAAGTACATCACCTCAAGACAGTGAATCCAATATCCTCGCCACTTTCCTCAGATTCATCCGCACGTGGACGACACTCTATGTCATCAAAAAATACAATTCACTGTTTCTTGGTTACGCTGGTGGTCTAAGCGTCTAGCTACGGTGTATTATTGTATATTGTCCCTAGTTTCTCAAGGACTTTAACCATTTTAGGAGTAGGAGACTCAAGATACTTTACGCTTTTTCTTTACTGCTTACTACTCGGCACTTCTGTACGAGTTAGCTTCAGTTGGGTGTTTGTCGAGAGTTTTATTGGAGAGTTGATTTGGTGGCTTAGGTAAGGATTTCCTTTTGTTATTTCTTCAGCTGGGTGTAGTTCGCTTCTCGCTTACTCGCTTACTCCCTTCTTCGGTATTGACGAGTGTCACTTCTTGCCTATACTATAAAACATCAAGGGTCAAGATGAATATATCTCCTATTATTACATATCAGAATCCCATTTCCAGTATACTAACATATCTTCTCACACCACAGATCTCTATTCTTAGCAAGACAATAACTACCAAACCGAGACTCTCAAGTCGCTTGAGAAAGCACCATGGACTACAAATTCACACAGCGATACACGGATGAGGAGAGAGAGATGTCGCACCAATCAGATGACGCTTCACCTCGGGGATACACTGAGCTTTCTTCGGGTGCCGTCTTGGAATATGAGCCTAGCGAGGTGAATTCCCCCGATGAGGAGAGTACATTTTTCGAGAATGAGTTTAGCGAGGGAGAGGTTGTTGAGGGGTATACGACAGAAGACTTTCTTACCGAGGACGAGTGTGCCGACGAGGATACGAGAGAATATTCTGCTAGCAAGGACGAATCCGCCGACAAGAACGCCCCAGAAGAATCTCTAACCGCCAACAATACTACGTCAACCTCAGAGCCCAACACTTCCGAAGCCTCCTTCAATCAGGGTACCCCCCAGAAGAATGCTACAGATCCATCTTCTGACTCTCAGCAAGCAGATGCCGCCCAAGACACGCAGCTCACAAAACAGGCTTCTAAAGCAACAAAGACACCTAAGAAGCCCAAGAAGCCGAAACTCAAACAAGTCGAGGAGTATATGCTAGCTCCGTACGAGAAAAAGGTGAAAATGATGAGTAGGGCCTATGAATATGTCCGTGTTCAGGGCTCCAGATTGCCGTATGATGGGGCTAGTGCGGATGTTTATGTTGATAGTGTTATTGCGGCGGTAAGTATTGCTTGTTTTTTTATTTTTCGTTTTTGTAAATAGGTATTTTTTGGAGAAGACTGGAAAGTGGTTTCATCTCAAAGAGAGGATTTGTTTATTCCAGATTCTTGTGATTCCCCAAGAGGACTTTGATACTCATTTTCCTTCAAACTCCCACTATCATCACTTCAAAACAAAGCACTAACCACCAACCCCAGGAATTTCCCGACACCACCTACACAGAAGGCAACCCCCTAATCGACACCGCACAACTCCTGACCGTCGGAGCAGAAAGCCACGTAGCCGCACGAATCAACTCCTTCCGCAACAACAGACTCAATTACGAGTCGGGAATCTACTGGCAGAAAGTAGCATGGGGCATCGCAGATCTCATCTACGAATCTCTGTTGCGCCATCATCGTATCCCTCTGGGTCCGAATACATTCAATACCTATGTTGGAATGCTCCAGCATCGAATGTATGCTAGAAGCCGTAAGCGACCGAAACCCCCGCTGGAGCAGATGGCTGGGCAGTCTGCGTTTACGCCGCTTCGGACGCGCTTTGAGGGCTTGGTTGAGGGGACTGTGAGATTAGGTGAGTGTGAGAGAGTCTTGACGCTGAGAGAGCGCGAGGCTTTGAATTTGGTAGTGGAGGATGATGGATAAGTATGGCGTCCTTGCCGTCCATGGTGTTTGGGGGTGGACTCTTGGGAGAGTGAGTGTTTAGCGACTTGTTGATTTTCGACAATCTCCTATGCTTCTGGGTAGGTATTTGTAGAAACTCAACAAGAGGGAGGAGTTATGGGTAGTCTAGTGTATGGAGGTTTGGTACTTTCATGTGGCATCACAGGTAACATTCATTATTGAGGATCTGGTTTCACGGAATTTCTTCTGGCTATTATGTTTCTCAGTTTCTGGCAGCTTTCTCGAACTTGGAAGGCTCCACATCGAAGCAGGGACATATGGAAAGAACACCTATGTAGTTGTACTAAATCCATTAATGAAACTTGATTCTTAATAACAAACTTATTGATTTTGATGAGAGTGCTTCACAAGTTATACCACCAGGAAAGCCGAGTCTCACGAGTGTTGACCAGAGTCTTGAAGCACCCACCCTCAGCCCCTCCTTTTACAATCATGTTAAATCTCACTGAAACGAAGCAAAGAATCTACTGTTTAAATGCTGTAGAATAATAGGAAAAGGGTAGTCAATGTCAATCTACTTGACTAGAAACACAGTCTGGGTTCCCAATAGGCATCACACAACATTACGCCTACTTTACCTAGGTACCTCCACTCAACATCTCAACAGGGATAATGATCACCCCCCTCATTATCACAGTAGTACAAAAAGGAGGGGTTCACTCCTTCCCATTCGCTCCTTCCCTGTACAAGCAGTCCTCGGTACCATTCACCTGCGTGCCAAGCGATCCCCATATATCACCTCCTCCTAACACAACTCCACTCCAACTTGCAAAGCTCAATTTCGTACTGAATCCAGAATCCTACATCTACATCCTCATCACCAAATTGATTCGAGAACTCCTACCAAGATGTCCAACTTCCCAACCCTAATCCCCGCCTTCACGACCCAGGTAACATTACCCCACCTTCCACCAGTTACACAACCATGAATCCATTTCCCCGTAACCACCTCATCTACCATAGCCCCATAACCCCATCTCCCAAATCCTCAACCCCTATACCCAATACCAAGAACCCCAAACCCCTCATGTTCTCTCCAAAAGAAAGAAGAAATCTAACAAACCCCCAGATCGTAATGGACCCCAGCTTCAGCGTCGGCTCCGTATCCAAAGGCGCCCCCTTAACCATCGTCCCCTTCGGCACCACCCAAGGCGCAGGCTTCATCCGCTCCGAACCCGATTACCCCATCAAAGTAGACGCCGTCTTCGAGCACGGATCGGATTTCATCCGTCAGGATCCTTCGGGGAAGCATCTTGTATGTCCCTTTCTCTTTCGCGTTCTCTTTCTTCAAATGTATTATATTGTAGTATTGCAATTGTTCCGGAGAAGACTATTTGTGGATGATAAGTCTCAAGGAGACGGACGAGTTCGGTATTAGAATTACTGACATGATCTTTTTTTCCATTCAGCGTCTCGACGTCAACAGTATCGCCAAAGACAAGAGTGGTGCGATGATCAGCTACAAATATACTGGAATCGTCACAATCACACCTGAAATCGGTGCCGTCTTGACAGGCTCCCCGGATGCGAAAACCACCTCCTTTGGCAGCATCGGTAAGTGTCACAAAAACCCTCATGTATCACAAGCACACTTGGAAATTCTAACGTGGTACTTTCTCACAGCGGCTCACGTCCTCTTTGAGACTGGCAGTGCGGAGTTGAAAGCCCTCGAGCACAAAGTCTACGTAGGCAGTGGTCATTTCATCATCGAGGAAGGAAAGAAGAATGTCGTCGAGTACAAAATCAGTGAAGTCTTACCTTGATAGGGCTCAAAGGACACACGGAAATGTACACGTGATGTTGTTTCATAAGAATCAATCGGCACTCATTACGCAGTGTTTTTGGCGAATTTTTTTCTTTTTCAATTGACTCGAAGACACGCTGAACCATGCTCAAGACCTCATAATCATCTCTCTATGCTTGCGAACGAAAACTGTGGAAATCTGTCCCTTATTTGGAAAAAAGAAAAAACGCCAGGTAAATCCTTCAAAAAACAAGGCGATATCGCTTTCCCGAATCATGCAAGAACTTATTGAATCCATAATCTCATCCCAAATGACAATTCTGAGAAACATCCCCTCCGTTCCACTGCCATCGTCAGTCATAACTCCAACCTGATGAGATTATCATGCAAAACAATCCAAATACAGAATGATCAGCTATGTAGTTCCGGCAAGCTGAAGTAAACGCTCGCCAGCCTTGAGATTTGCGCAGGCATATGCTCTTGACTCCTTTGGGAAAGTTCCATTGGCGGCCCACAGATCGATCAATGGCTGCATTGGCTCAAGCTCCTGTGGCTTCAACATCTCAATCTCGGTGGCGGTGAGAATGAAATGACTGAAACAACTGTTCAATGGCTTCTCAAGGCTCAGGTGATAGAATGGCTCAATAAAGTGAGACCAGTAGAGATGAGAGTAAACACGGAGCATTTGGCGGAAGATTGTCTGACAGACGTCTTGAAATTCTTGTGGAAATCCACTGCTCTTGCCGATCCAGTCACCTTGACCAGCGAGCTGGGAGAGAGAGGCGTTCAAGGTGGTTGGGCCAGCTGGGATTGATGTGTTCGAGCCAGGGGTATCAAGTCCACCAGAGGCATATGTAGCACTGCTAATTGCAGGTCCATTGGGGTTTTGGGAAAAGGAGACGCCGGCCGGATCAGTAGGGAAGAGGTCGGTATTGTCAATTTTTCCGGAGATCCATCTTTGCATGAGAGAAATGTACTCGTAAGCGGGGACTTCAACTGGCTCTCGTGCGCTATTCAACCACGTGAACGAGTGATTGCTGAAAGAATTGTTAGTTTAGCACGATTTTTGTATTTTTAAGACTTTCACTCACTCGCCAGCCGACATTCGAGGGCAAGTTTGGGGATTGCAAATCGACATGCCATCTTTCTCATCCTTATCGTGAACCACACGGACAAAGTTCCATAGGTTGCGGTAATGCTCCACGACTTTTATGACAGGTCAGCTGATGACGAGAAATGGTAGGAATTAGATCCTCGAACCTTGATGAGCAATCCACTCTCCTCGTTCAACGGTCTTGGGTCGAGCGGACAGAGTCATAAAATTTCCCTTGACAATGTGCTTGGAGTAGCTATCATTCAACCATAGGGGCTTTGGGCGTGGGAGGTTATAGCAAGCGAGTGGGTCATTGGGGTCACTCCTGCTAGGGAAGTTGCCGCCGGCGGTGTCCATTGAGAACGTTGATGAGAGAGAGGGAGAATTGGGAATGGGGGGAACTCTGGGAGCTAGATTGGTTGAAGAGGAGGAGACGCTTCCCGTTCCGCTTCCGCTGCCTTGCGAGGTGCCTGTTGGTGATGTTGGCTGTGCTCCTCCATTAAGCGGTCCTGCAATTTTGGCACCGCTATTCTTACCACCACCTCTAAAGCGTCCACTGCTGTAAGAAAAGACAGGTTAGCAAAGTTGCGAAAGTGGAGAGGTGAGATCGGGTGAACAAAGACGCGCTGAGGATGGTGGTATGGGAGTAGAACACAGGGGATGCCAACTGATCTCGTTCAAGCCATGCTGATTCAGACATGGTGGAAGATGCACAGAGCCTTTGAAACCAGTGCAATCATTTAGCCTCTTTGGGCAAGACAGGGTGTGTGGGAGAAAGAAAGTTCAGCGTGGTGGGTGTCTGACTCGTTCGGAAGGGGGAGGACTAAGTGGACGCGAAGAGAGCGTAAAGAGAGAGGGGGAGCGTGAAGGTAAACTTGGCTAACCTTTCATGTGATCTGCCTCCAACTTTGGAGAGGCAAGCGAGTGCAGAGCAGCCGACCGCGACAGAGACAGTGGCCACAGCAACGGGGCACCCGTACGGCAGAATCTGAGCAACAGACAAAGCCACAACCGAACCTTGAGCTCTCAGGGCAGAAAAGACTAGTTTTTGATGATTCTCATCTGAAGTTCCTCAGAGACAAGTCCCCCTCTTTCGACAGCACCACCATGCAGACAGGGGCAGGAAAAGTGAAGCAACACAAGCAGGCAACGCAGCCAGGCCAAGTATGAGATGAATATGGGGACCTTGACCTACATTCCAGAAAATAAGTTTGACATGTTGAGAACTTTGGCTGCTCTGATGAGCTTAATGTGGCGGGGGGGCGGAGGGAGAAGGGAGGAGGTTAAGTTGCACGCTGTTCTCTAAATTCCGAGGACTTTATGTTGTGATTGTGATATGAGCTGGCGGAGAGATGAATAGGAGACAACTGCCAACACCCTCTGCCGGCACCAGCGAGTTGTGCCCTTGAATCCCTTAGCGCAGGCCTGGGCGGTGAGGGGCAGATGGCCTGATTGAGCGTTTGAGAGAGCCGCTTTAATGGCCCCTCGTGTTTTTGCGAGCATCAGGGCTGCTGCCTTTGCCCAAATTAGAGCTTGAGGTGTAGGCGTTACTCGGCTTCACCTGTCCAGGGCCTGGTTGCTGTGAAGCTATTCTGCCCTGTCATCCAATCACCATCAACTGGAATTTTGGAGTTGAAGCTCACCACGCTCACTCACTATCAAGACCTTCACTTCGACTCCGCACAGTATCTGATTCGTTCGACACTATCTAGATTCACCTGCCATACTTGCCAATCCTTGGACGAATACTGCGCTAGTCTGTAAACCTTTTCTTAACACAAGCTGCGACGCGCCTCGCCAGCTTCAACACCAATCTAGTCCAACCCAATCCGCACGAATTCTGCGACTGCAGCTGCCAGCGCATCAGAAAATATGACATCATCCGACGAAGATGTGATGAACAGCGACCCAGACATGGGAGACGACTTGTTTGGGGATGAAGAAGAGGACGAAGCGCCCAAGGTCCAAAAACCACGCCAGCTGAGCGACGATGAGCTTGATTCGGGTGACGATGAGGGCAGACAAGACCGTCGAGCCCAGAGACCCATGAGCGAAGATGCAGAGCAGGAAAACGAAAACGTCGAGGCTAGAATTCAAACGGTTTGGAGGCATCCTTTGCCAAAACCTTTGGATGAAGAGGTAAATTGCAAATCAACAATTACTACAATCCGCTGACCCATTTCAAGCTCAACTCTTTGAGGCTTCCCAAATTTCTCGGCATCGAACCTCGCGCCTACGTACCAGAAACTTTTAGTATCCCAACAACAGACCATCATTCCGAGCCCCCATCTGCCAATTTCTCTGCCCGGGCAGTAGCTGCCACAACTATGCGCTTTCGTAAAGACTCGGCTGGAAACCTCGAGGGCAATACCCTGATCTATAAATGGAGCGACGGAAGTACTACGCTGTGTATTGGAGATCAACATTACGAGCTGGAGCAGAAGCCTCTTGCACCCCCCAAGGACGGGCCCTACCAGGAAGTTTTGGATTCGCATTCTTATGTTGCAACACCATCGTTGGCTGCTCAATTACTCAATATATTTGGCCACATGACAAATCAATACACAGTCAGACCAAACAAAGATATTGAAGACGATGCTTTAGAGAAGCTGCAAAAGAGTCTAGCTGCTGCTGCTCGCGGAAGTGGCAAGGGCGACGATAAAAACGGTCCCGAGATGATCACGAATACTGAGGATCCAGAGCTTCAAAAGAAGAAAGCCGAGATGGCAGAAAAAGAAAGAATGAAGCTCCAGCGACGGCGAGAGACTGCGGCCGAGAAGGCGAGCATCCCAAGTGGACCAAGAGGAGGGCGTTCTGGTGGCCTCACAGTAGACGATCTGGAGATAAGCAGCCGAAGGGGACCGGCGACAGGTCGAAAAGCTGCTGGCACCAAACGGCCAAGACGCAAAACAGATGATTATGATTCAGAAGATGATAATGCTGCTAGAGGCCGACCAAGTCGAATGGATGAATATGACACTGATGATGGTTTCCTTGTCAACAGTGACGAAGAGATGGAGGTATCAGGGGAAGATGACGAGGAAGAGGAGCTGCTTGACGAAGATAGTGATCGAGAAGCACCAAGGGCAAAGAAGCAGAAGAAATCGAAACCAGAGGAAGTGAGCGATGCGGACGCAGAAGCCGATCTTGATGATGATGAGGCTCCAGCACCCGCTGCAGAACCATCAGGAAGATCAAGAAAGCGAAATATCATTGAGGATGACGACGACGAGTAAGAGAGGTCTTGAGACTTAGACTAGCCCTCAATCTTGCGTGGGGTTGCATTTGTAGGATTTTGAAATATCAGAATAGGATTTGTATGTATCATAGGAGGCGGAATTCTCAAAAGCGAATACCTATTTGCCTACCAGAATAGAAAGTATTAATTATCGGAATGTGGTTAATTAATTTTGGGTGGTATAGTCTCCCCAAATCTTCACTCTACGATTCCGCTGCTGCTGAATCTTAACATTCTCATATGTTTTTCCCTATGTTTTCCAAGTCGGCGTGAGAGATTTAAAATATTTCAGGTCTTTCGCTTATTATGGATTTACTTTGTAATCTTACTCGCTCTTTCATTCGACTACAAGACCTTTGTCTTCTTGACTCTGGCTAGATTACGTTAGTACAGCAATCACGTTCACGAATCTCACATTATAAGCTCACGGTACATAGGTAGAACCCTTCAATTTCATCGATACTATATATGTTTGAGTAAGTTCAGTACAATTTAACGGATTCAGTAATCATTAGCCTCGCTTAACCATCCTCCCCGTTCCTAAATCCACTTCATGCCACTCCCCCTCATCCTCAGATCTCGCTCCTTCACTCCCACCTCCCTTCCTCTCAACATACTCAGGTTCCCTAACAAACGCCTCCGCCAACCTCGTCAGCTCCTCCAACGACGCTCCCTTCTTTCCCCTCATTCCCATCTTCCCCTCCCCCGCCTTCTTCTCCTTACTAAACGAACTCCTCACCTTCGCACCCAAACCTACCATAGAAGCCCTCGACGCATCCGCAGCGGGTGTCTGGTTCTGAGTCTCGGACCCAAATCCCAGCGGTGCACCGAGTCCTTCCATCGCAGGCTTTGGGACCAAGGTGACTCGGGGGCGATGGACCATGAAGGGGGTTCCGGCTGGGGGGGCGGCGGGAGGTGGGCTG